TTTTCCATTGCCTAACTAAATTTTCCAAACTACACACATAGACTTTGTTTCAAACAATATAAGGACCTTCGAAGATGACACACTTTCCCATACTCTCCCTGCGCAACAAACCCAGGTGGTTGCTCTATATAGACCTCCTCCTGGAGATTACCATGTAAGAAAGCATTTTTGATGTCTAATTGATGTAGATGCTAATTATGTATAGCTGCAATAGAAATGAACAAGCAAATCAACGTTAATTTAGCTACGAGATAAATTGTCAAAGTAATCCACCCCATAAGTTTGGGCATAGCTTTTAGCGATAAGACAAGCTTTAAGTCTAGTCACTGATCCATCAGGATTGACTTTAATTGCAAACACCCACTTGCATCCTATAGCCCTTTTTTCCTGCAAGCAAATTTACTAAATCCCAAGTACCATTAGCATCTAAAGCATCAACCTCATCGATCATAGCATCACGCCAACCATTATGGGATAAGGCTTCATGAAAAATTTTTGGAAGAGACACAGATTCTATGGAAGCAACAAAAGAGCATGAAGAAGAGGACAAGTGATCATAAGAAACAAAGGATGAAATACGATAAGTATACTGGCATTTACCTTCGCAAAGAGCGATAGGTAGATCAAGATCACCGGACACTGGATCCGATGCCAAAGAAGGGTCAGTTGCCAAACATGCATTAGAAGAATTTCGTCATTTGGAATACATCTGGTGAATAGGTAGTGGTGGTGTGAGAGCAGTAGGTGTAGAAGCAGCATTGATTGACTGGTAAGTGACATGATAAACCAACAGATCATCTTCCTCCCCTTATTGAAAGAAGTATAAGATGTGGGAAAGAAAGGAATATGTTCTCGACAGGTAACATCAGCTGACATAAGATACTTGTCAAGATTTGGGCACTAGCTTCGATACCCTTTTGTAGACAAGAGTAACCCAGAAAAATACATTTGAAGGATTTGGGATATAATTTAGTTACTTGGGGATGAACATCACGAGCATAGCAAATACTATCAAATATCCTAGGAACAATAGGAAATAGAGGTTTAGCAGTAAAAAGAACACTATAAGGAGCCTCAACATGAAGGATAGATAAAAGCATTCGATTAATAAAAAAACACGCCGTGGAGACTGCATCAGCTTAAAATTGTTTAGGAACATGCATTTCGAACAAGAGTGCCCTGGTTGTCTCAATAAGATGTCTATTTTTTTCTTTCAATCACGCTATTATAAGAGGGGGTGTCAACATACGAGGATTGATGAAAAATACCATTCTAAAGCATGTAAGTCTGAAAAGAATCGAAAAGTATTCTTTGACATTATCACTTCTCAATTTGTGTGTATAAACATTAAATTGTGTTTTAATCTCAGCACAAAAGGCACTAAAATGTGAAAATAATTCAAAACAAATCTTCATTAAATAAAAGCCAAGTCATATAAGAAAAATCATTAGCAAAGGAAACAAAATATCGAAATCTAGTTTTGAACGCAATAGGACAAGGACCCCAAACATCTGAATGAACTAACTCAAAAGGAAAATTAGCTCTTTTATTGACTCGAGGAACTGAAGAGAGACGATGTTTCGTAAACTAACACAACTCACAATCTAAAGATGATACATTTTGAAACTGATGGCATATTTTCTTCAACAAAGATAAAGATGGATGTCCCAACCAATAATGTGCTTTAAAATGAGTAAAGACACCTGAAGACACAATGGATTTGAGTACCTAGGTATCCAGAATATAGAGACTACCTAATTCATGTCATTTACCAATAAACTCCTTCGTCATCAGATCCTAAACAAGACAGTAATCAGGAAAAAATGAAACACAGGAGTTTAGAATTCAAGTAAGTTTGCTCACGAACATTAAATTAAAAGAAAATTGTGGTAGACTTAAGACAAAGGATAAGGAGATTAATTGAGTTGGATTAATAATGCCAAAACTGAGAAGAAAAGTAGAACCTTCAGCTAAAGTGACATTGGAAGGAGATACATGCGGCTAAAAAGTGGAGAAGAACTAGGATTACCTATCATATGATTTGTGGCACCAGATTCAATGACCCATTTTGAGGAAGATGAAGGAAGACATGTATTAGGTTTACCTGTCTTGGCAATGGCAGAGGCCGGATGGTTTGCTCAATGAGCTGAGTGAGACTTCTGAGATTTATTTTGCAATTTTCGACACAAGTATTTTGGTATGACCCAGTTCATAACAATAGTAGCGGATAACTCCCCCTTCATTCCGACTTCGATTGATCCGACTATCTGTACCCCACCTCTTGTATTACATCTACTATTGCGACTGATAAGAGCACTAGAAGACTGAACAGATGAAGCAACAGAAGCATTAGTATCTATGCGAAGTACTCGTAAAAGTTTCTTGCAGGGGTGAAATCTCAATATTGGAAAGGATCTAGGATTTGGCAGTCTTAAACTGAGAATTAAGACCAGCTAGAAAACTAATCATAGCCATTTGCTCTCGTCGAGTTTGCTGAACTTTCACATCTAGACTAAGAGGTAGCAAGACATTTAATTCTTCAAAAGTTTTCTTCAAATTCATAAAAAAAGCCTAAAGAAACTGATCTCGTTGTTCTGCACAGTAAAAACCTTTACAGACTTCATAAATATGTGACATATTCTCTTTCCCAGAGTACATGAATTCTAAATATTCCATTAATTCCTTAACATACTCACAGTGATTAATCAGGCTAACTATCTCTGTGTCAATAAAATTACGAATTTGTAAGAATAATCAAGCACCATCTCTTAGCCATTGGTGGATTTTCAGTAAGATGACTCAGCAAATAAATTCGAACCTTCTTACACCAATCTAAATAATTTAGACCAATCAACTTATGCTCCGTGATCTTATACATCACTAAAATGACATTAATCATAACTATATTCTTCTGTTTGTCAGCCATAGATACAAACCACAAGGTCCAGCTAACAAATCAAAGATGCGGCCAAACCCAAAAAAAAAAAAAAAAAAAAAAAAAAAAAAAAAAAAAAATCATCTATCCCAAATTCTACAAATAATAGCCCAAAGTAATAAGCCCAAACAACCAAACACACGTGAAACAGCTCACACAAGTAATTGGGCCACAGATCACAAATCCACCAAAGACACGAGCCTAGAGAGAGTCGAGTTGATTACCAAAGAGACACCAAAAGCATGAGATGTCTAAAACGCATAGGCTACCGTTCGCACAAAAGCTTGAAACACTTGGATGTTTTGCACCTCTTTCGCACACACAGAGATGCCAGAGAATCTCATACTTTGACCATCAAGAACAAAGTCGCGCTAAAGGTGTCGACCATAGACCGATCGACCTACCAAAGAATCTCATACTTCGACCACCAAGAACAAAGTCGCGCTAAAGGTGTCGACCAAAGACCAATCGACCTAGAATTAAGCAAAAAGCTACCAGAAGCAAGAAACCTGTTGACTGAACGAAGTTGTCACTCAAAAAGGAACTTGATCGACCCTGAGAAAAACATAAAGCAACCCAAATCTTGAACACCTCAGGAACGAATTCAAGCGAGAAATTGTAGATTCTAAGATGTACATATGTATATGTACATATATATCATATGTATATGTACATATGTATATATCTATCATATGTATATGTACATATGTATATATATGTAGATATGTGTATATATATGCATATGCATTAGGAATTCTATATTAGGAAGGATCCTAATTAGGGATTCTTGTAATTAAAGTACTACAAGCTGTAGATTCTATAACACTCTCCGTCAAGTTGGAGCATAAATATTAATCACCTTGTAATGATCAAGAACCTATCAATTACATTGGAGATCCTATCCATCTTTCCCCCAACCCTCGAGCCAAGCTTGACTCCTCAAAAGAGGGGAAAAGGACTTCAGACACAGTTTTGTAAATGAAAATAAAGTCAATCTCCCAGACAAAAGGGAAAAAACAACCAGAAAGAAAACAGAGAAAAACAAGATCGAAAGATGAGGAAGTGCACTTCCTAGTATGACCCCAATACTTAATCTATATGACACAGGACATGAAAGGATGGGCAACTAAATTGGATTGGATTCCTAGTACCCCGTTTTACCTTAGTAAATTAATTTGTTGAGACTTCAAGTAACTTGCAAGGTCTTAGTTAGTTGAAATGTTTAAATAGGAGTTCAAAGGGTGAAATAGGTAATCTGTACTGCAAAATATTCTTAGTTCGCGTTTGCTGGTGTATTCAGTTGGTCTTGGATAGACGTGTTCCGTGAAAATATGCAATTGTCAGCATAAATGAACAACCCTTACATAAGATCAAAATCAAGAAGAACTTTTCCATGCCTTCCGAATATATTTCTACTACAGTACTAGTCGACTATTCGGTTCTGATCTTTAGATACTTAATTTTCTACTCTTAAAACAGGCCTTCAAGTGAAAAAATCTTCCCTGAATACGCAAGTTCAGGGATTCAAATGCTTAGAGTTATATATTTACACTTCATTAAATGTGTACATACACATACCAATATGTGTATATATACAAACATTGTTACATTATGCATACATGTGTATGAAAATGTGCACATATGGTATTTACACAAAAGCATATGTAGCTGAAAGTTAAAACAACAGAACTAAGTGATGTATTTTATATCTACAGCCTATAGGTTTCATTTCGCTATTGCTTCAAGAAGCCACTCTGCTCTCTGAACAGTTACTGATCTTTTCTCGCGAAAATATGGGAGTCTCCTTTCAATTCTTTTTTTGAAAATCAAATTTACACCCATTAATTCTTCTCAAAGAATAATAAGCTTAACAATATCTGCTTCTGTATACAGTATACTAGGGTGAGTGAGAGTGCAAAAAGTGGGATTATATCATAAAACAAAAAATAAATTGAAACCAAGACTGCAATAAAGGTTAACCAAAACCCACGAACCCAAGCAAATCAAAATCAAGAATATAGAACTCCGAAACGAAACGTAAAAGAAAAAGAGAGTATATTCTTACTCAAACGGAGATATCAGAAAATAATCCTTTCCGGTTGAAATCGAATGGCTCTTGGGGTAAAATTTGCTACTGAGGCTAAAGGAAATTCTTCGTAAAATTGTGGGACTTAATTGAATTGAATCGAGCTAGTTTCCCCGACTAATATGAGGAAAACCCTAGTTCCTAAAATTACAGCAGCTCCGTAAAAATGTCCACGATTTTGATAAACGAAAAGGAAATTTATTATTAAGAACCCAAGATGTGTTGAAGAACAGTTAGTAGTCCTCTTTTAAATACTTTATTTTTTATTATAGACCTTTTTAGTTAATCTTTTTTTCTTTTCATATTTTAAAATAATTCATCTCCTTACTCATAACAGATTTGTCTCTTTGGTTTCTTAAAAGCTTGTTCGGCACATATTTTTTTAAAATCATTTATCTTTAAAATTATTTTTAATCATACGTTTTATTAGATTCAAAATATTTCTCCATTTTTTAATCATACATTATCCAATAATTAAATATAAATAAAATCTTTTCATTCAAAAAAATATGTGCAAAACATGCTTTTAGTTTTCGACAATAATCACGTTCCACTGTAATAATAATTAAGATAATTCTGGAAGCTGGTTAAGAAAAATTATATTTCTAGTGTTCAAGAAAAGATGTTTAATGGAGAAAAAGATGAGAAAAGGAAAAGAAGCAGCAAAGTTCATCATCTTAGCAAAAATTGAGAGATTTGGGTAAAGGTATCATTTTGATTGAATGCACTTCAAGTAAGGGTTAAGTAAATGTATCTTTCTGATTGAATGCACTTCAAGTAAGGGCTAAGTAAGAGGTTATTGTTACGTACTGTGATTATAATGATCTACTTGGATTCCATGTCAGCCACAAAGAGCTCATTGCGTAGCCACATGTCTTTGCTCATGTGTGCGTCAATTGTTGATGCATAGTCAGAGCGAAAGATGTCTGGACAATCGAAGCTCCCTAAGCGAAGAATTATGCAAAACAAAGGCATCAGCTATCAATAGGACTAAAGGCCTAGTACATGGACTTCAAACTTTGTACGTAGAATCAACTTGAACTTTAATACATTAAATTCTATGCGTGCACACAATAAATTACTAGACAAGTGTAACGAAGCATAAACATCAACAAACTTTGGAACTAGGACTTATCATGACTTCAACACAATGGTGAAAGAATTTTGATTCACGAAATTGAATAAAATGCTCATAAAAAAGGCCTATAAATAAGATCATTGAACAATAGAAAAGGGATCCAACTTTCCCTCTAAAAATCCTAAGAATTAAAAGATTATCTTTTCTAAGATGTCTCAAAAATTAAAGAATATTTCTGATATATAAATAATTGGCTTCCGAAAGAAGAAAATCATGTCGCAGTCAGAAAGAAACGAATGCCATTGGTTTTAAAAAATAATATCCATATTTTGAGGTACAAAATGTTAATAGTCTAGGCTATCCATGCTCGGAATGACTCGCTTAATTATTTATGGTTGGATTCATTTTCTATTGTGTAATGGTCCTATTTAGTAATTTTCACGAGTCACCATTCTTTCCTCATTATGTTTGGAAGTCATGATTAAATCTCAATTTCAAAACTTATTGAGGTTTGTTCTTTGTGACAACACTTGTCCAATAATTTATAAGTGCATGCATATTTTTAGTGCACTAAAGTCTAGGTTGATACTATCAGAAAACATGCTAAAGTTCTCATCCTTTTCCAAGGCTAAATTGAGGTCTTCAGTCTTGTTGATGGTGTGGCATCTAATATACTTCAAGCCAAGTGTCAAAATTCTACATACTCATTTGCTTAGGAAATCCTCGGTAGCCAAGGCATCTTTTGCTGGACTATGCATCGGTGATTGAGGTTCCTATGTTCAAAATCATAAATGGACACGCGATGGGGATCTTTTATAGTTGATGCGGAATTTGGGTGGACCAAATTATTTTATGTAGTAACATCAAGTCGGAGTTTTAAATTCATGTAGAATGAAGATTTTTTTATGTTTCTTTGTTGCTTGTATTAAAGTCTTAAAACTATACTGTCCAACTGTTGGAAAATATGGTTTACACACAAGGAGTGGAGAAGAAACAAAAATCAAATAACAAGAAGAAGAAATTAAAGAAGAAGGCTCAACTATGAAATAGTTATATTTGCCCTCTCTCAAATTGAATTTGATACTTAAAAGGATTTTGAAAAGTAGTTTGCAAGATTTATCAAGCTCTGTAAAGGATTTAACACTTAGCACTTAGTGTAATCCTTCAAAACTTGAGAACATGAAGAAGAAATTGAATATGATAGAGAAAATAATTTGATTCTTTTGTGGAATGGAAGTTATGATCACAAGTATTATATCTTGTGTTTGTATTGAACATCAACCATCTATTTATAAACCTCAATAGTATTTCACTAAGTGACACCAAAACAAGATGAAAGCACAAAAAAAAAAAAAAAAAAAAAAAAATTGGCCGTAACAACTAGAAAAAGTGTTCTATGCAACCGCATAGAACTAATCTATGCGATTGCATATATCAGCATACAGCACAACCTTTAGGCTTTACAAATGCCAATGCAACCATTGCCCTACATGGGCCAAAATTTAGCCTCCAAATTTGTTTTCATTCCACACTCATTTTATTGACTTTTGACCAACAATATACAACAACTCCTCACTCGTTCAATATTCAATAAATTTTATATTCGAAATATACAATACTCATACATAAGGATTAGATATCTTTCAATTTGAATCTAATTATAGTGTAATTCAAACGAAGTAAAGTCGAAATTAAAAGTAGCATTAAGCTTTGAACCAATTTCATATGAAAATATCGGTAAGAACACATACACACGTATCACACGTTCTCAAGTTTCTCAAACTCGTTTAACTTTAATATGGCCTTGAGCTTATCCTTTTTAGTCAAACTTTTTAGAGGGAAACTCTAACTCTCTATTAAGGTGGCACCACATTGAAGTTCATCTAGATGAAATTCTTTCAGTGTCTTTAATCACTTTTTAGATATACTTATAATTTTACTGAGCCTCATTAAGAGTTAAAGCTCAACCGTCACTTTTAGTAATAACCAACATTATTTAATTAGAATAGAGTTATTGTGGATTTTATCGAATGACTTGTTGTTACCCTTTGAACTCGTGGAACACTCGTTAAGTAATAACATGTATGGTTGTCATCATTGGTTGTAACGCCTCGAAATTTCTATAGAATAAAATTGATTTATTCTATCTGCTATATTTTTATATTTTGAAAGATGAGGGGCTAAAGTGAACTCGCATTAATTTTAATTTTATTGGGCCAAGTAATTAAATTTTGATAGAGCGAAATTTAGAATACCAATATTGGACTCATTTTATAGTTTGTATTAAATAATGTATTATGAACTTGAGGAAAGATTTATGTGGATAAGTTATGTCTAAGATATGGAAGTTTTAAGAAATTTATATTTAATTGATAATTATTTAAACTTTGTTTATGTTTTTAATTTTGTGGTAGACTCCTATGAGATGATAAATGTTAATTTTTGATAATGATAATCATTTTGTATGATTTGGATAAAGTTTGATTGTAATCTTAAATTGATTTTGATAGAGTTCGAAGTAATCATAATTCTATTATTTGAAAGTAATTCTTATTCAAATTCTATCTTCATAGTAATCAGTAAATCTAATTTTTGTGAGTTAAGTATTAATTATATATTTTATACCAATCCAAGTACATGTGTCATAGTATGAATTGTTTTATCAAGATTCAATTCCTATCCAAGTTTGGCACACATTTTCTTCCATCACCATTGTACTAGGACTCGACTACTATTTTTTTACTATAAATAGTGTGCAATTATCCCATAATTCTTCACCAAGAAATTTTTACACAGCAGGTAGTAGAGAGAAGGAGAAAGTAATTTCGAAAAAGTCAGTCATGATTTTATTGACGCAATCGAGAAAGTAGAAAAGATATTGGAATCCTTTCAAAATTCATTTTATTTGACAAGGTAAGATATTTTTGTGCAAGTGGTTCGTTTTCGTACACTTTTATATCCAATAAATTTATGCATGAATCGCCAATGGACCTTCGGGTTCGACCTAACGGAATATGAACTCTATAGGGTTCTTTATAATGAAATGTGAAATCCTTCGGAAATTCAAAATGACAAATGATGGGTATCTCGTTTGATCATCAATATACACCATAAGAGAAATGTGGTATGAAGTGTTAATTTATTGTTATATAATTTTCTATGAAAATTGCATGTGTCTTACTGGGTATTTTTGAATATTCACTCTTGCTATAATTTTTACATGTTAGCTTGGGTCGATTGGATTTGTGGCAGGATGGTGATGCAGGCCACCAAGTGGATCAATGAATTAAAAAAATTATACCTTAAGTTTTTATATAACTCCTAGTTAGTTTAAATTTATTCAAAACACGTTTTAAATCAATTAGTTGTTCATGTTTATTTATTTTATTTTCATGTTTAAGTTCATGGATTTTTAGCATTTTTATTTTTAGAGAAATTTTGTTCCATCTTAAAACAAACAAAAAGTGAGTTTTTGGTGACATTCCCAGTTTATGAAAATTTGGGATATTACATTGGTAGACCTTTTATTTCAAGGGATTCAACCCCATCCTACTCACTTGACTTGACATAATTTAGGAAAATTATCTCATCTTTGATTAATTTCCTTATGTAGTCATGTTTAGATTTTCTATTGTATACCTATATATGCTTTTGCTAATCTGGCTTGACTATTACACATGATAGTTATTGAAATGTATTCTTCGGCCCCAAAGGTATCTCATAAAGTAGATCTTTAAGCCTCTCAACTTATTTCCTGATTTCTGATAATGCTACAAGTTTAAATTCCATAGTCAAATGTGTTACACATGTCCATTTCTTTGATTTACAAGAAACAACAACTCCTCTAAGAGTAAACACTCAACCAGATGTAGATTTACTTTCACCCGTGCTAAATATCCAACTAACATCAGTAAATCCTTCTAATACAGCTGGGAGTTTAGTATAATGTAGACCTAAGTTTTTGGTTTTCTTTAAATAGCCAAGAACTCTTCCAATGGCCCTCCAATGATCCTTGCTCAGATTAGTTGTATACATGCTAAGTTTACTAATTGCATAATCTATGTCCAATATTGTGTATTTAACTGCACACATAAGACCCCTTATATCACTTGCATACTCCAATTGAACAAGTGCTCTTCCATCATTTTTTA